AATGTAAGTGGCTATTGTTTGGGACGAACAATACAATTAAGGGGCATTGTTACAACAGCGGAGGTCACGTAATGCTAGTAACACGTCATGCACTTCTAGAATGTTCATGAAACCTCAGGAGGTTGCTATATTTCGGTATTCTTGTACATATAAGGCGGTCAGGACGTGACGACAACAATGTGTAATTGAACTGCGGACAGAAAGAGACGTATTGTTGAGCACGTGAGACGTCTGTTGTGAATTATAGCATGACCGTGGAAATTAAGTGTATTGCAAAGTTGTATTTGGAAAGAGTAAACCAGTTTTATTTAAGAAAGGACATGTATCGGTAAAGTTTCTTCGGAAAGAATTTTTACGGAAAATTAACTAATGAACGGAGTTCCCTTGTCTGTGATAAGATTTCTTTGACAGTACTATTTGCCATTGTTTTAATCCAATGTTCAGGTTTTGTTAAGTACTCATCCTTACATTATTGATCAAAGCCTATGTACCATAGACATACCAGAGGAAATTAAATCAAAACATAATACAGTTTAGTGGATCATATTCATACTTTCTTGTTTCTGACATCTCTAGAGGTTCTGACACTCCTCAATAGGAATTAAACATTGTTGGTTCCATTCTGATCTCAGATTCAGTATTCAAGACCTCCTGATTCTGTTGCTTTAGCTGAGCCTACCCCATATCTGGTTCCCTCTCCCCAAATAAGCAGGTAATCCCATTCTTATCCTTTGCTGCTAGGATTATGCAAATATTTGTCTTTTGTTTTCTCTTTCTCAAGTTATTTTTTGATGAATCTTGAGCTACCTTATTGTATAAGCCTCATTTACCTGAATATCTTCTTTCAGCTTGGGGATCTTCTCTCTTTCCTTCTTTCTCTCTCTCTCTCACTTTCCACCTCCTTGTCTTTGTTTCTAACTTACTCAACTTCTTTGTATTTGTCTATGCTTCATATTTACATCATGATGATCATGATCTAAAGCCTATCATGACCCTGCCAGCTTTACTGGAGAAACTTACACATATTATCTTACACCTTACTCTAAATTTTTTTATTTTCTTGTGTTCCAGTTAACTTTGTTTCTAGCATGTACGTTGGGATGCCTTACTTTCTGTCATTTGCTTCCTTTAATCTTCTCTAGGGATCTGTATGTTTCACTCATTCTTCATGAGGAGGTTTTTTATAGGTATTTCTCATATTTTGACATTTTGAAGCAATGCAGCTTATCCACAGTTATTTCTGCTCACTTTGGTTTCTTGGTTTTCACTTGGACCAGGGTGCTCTACCAGGTTTCTATTCCTCTAGAGCCTTGTGACACTGCCTGCTTTCCTGTTCCTAATCCTATTGTAATTATTCAGTGTTTCCCCTCTCCAAGGGCTGGCTATCATGGGTCTTGGAGGTGACTTGTTCCTGGAGCTACCCCTTAGCTCCAGTCTAATGAAGGCATGGCTTTCCCACTTTGTGCACCTGTGGACTCCCTTTGCTGCAGACTAATTAGAATGCTATGGAACATTTCCTTGACCCCACACTTGGTTATTTCTACTATCTTTTGGTCACTCCAATAAAGATGATAGGTTGGTGACCTGCCATAGATCTGTCCCACTTGAATCAGCTTTGTTCATTCCATGCTTCCTGGTGGACAATTTACCCACTCTGAGGTCGATACTCTTCTAGGATTTGAATGACCAGGATTGTTGTCCAAAATGTTTTCTCCACACCTTGAGTTTTCCACTTGCATTTTTGCTTCCTTTGGTTCATCCACAAGAGTCAAATATTCTGTTCACAGCTCTTCCATTCAGGTTGGTTAAAAGTCTCCTGATGGGTCATCAAAATGTTTATGTAATTTCCTGTGGTAGACAGAGTGCAGAAAGCTCATTGTGTTGCTTTGTGCTAAAAAGAAACAAACAAGCTTTGAATTTTCATACTGTGTTAAAAAATTTGAAGTTGAATGTAAATCTGTACACATCTAGCTCATAGTTTCTTTCTCAATAAAAAAATACAGTATGTTTTCAATTGGATCTTGTTGGCATTTACTTGGATATTGCATTATTTGGCCTACTGTTTAATTATTCAAAGGATATTTAACTTCCACTTGCCCCATCCAGTGTGGCACTCATTGTTGTGACCTTCCGTTCCCTTGGGTGTCATCTCATTTAGGGTGGCTGGTTTGGCTCTCATATTCATTCTTGACCCCCACCCAATATTTCATTAACTTGGGGTTCTTTCTCGAGTTATATGCAGGGTGTGCTCAACATGCTTTTTTACTTATTCAAGACATGGAGTATCTGTTACCAAGGCTTTTGTGTCTTCTTATTTTCCAGCACAAAAGGATTTATCTCTTAATGGAGACATTCTCTTCTAAAAGAGAGTGATCAGCCACCTATCTGCCCCTGCTCAGTGCTTGATGTTGAGATGGGGTTTTAAGCAATACTGTTTTGAGTATATATATATATGTGTGTATGTGTGTCTATATATATATATATTTTTTTTTTACACTCAAGGCCATACTTTGTAAGAAATACAATTTAGCATGAAGTGTTATCTTGCCCTCGTACATGTCTAGCACCTGCTGTCCCTATTCATGGTAACCCATTCTACAGTCTGTCACTGTAGGACATTATGCAGATGTGTACCTCTCTGGTATTTTCCCCCATACCAATTCCCCCCCCCCTCTAGTTTTCTAGTGAAGTAAAGGAAGAACCTTTGCTTCCTCAGTTCCAAGCTGCTGGATGGTTGATATGGAGAGTTTCCTTTGGGGTTGGTATAGTCCCACTGGTATGAGATAGGGTGGAGCACCTCTCAAATGGAAGTAGGGCTAAGGTGTTACCTGAAAATGTTGTACAAGCCACCCCAATACACTATGAGCCAAGCCATTGCCAGTAGTTTTACCAGCTAGATGGGTCTTGAATTATCCTCGAGATGCAGATCTGGGATAATTTCTCACTGCACCTGCTTATTCTGCTAAGTACTTCACATAAGTATTTCTCCAATACTGTGTGGCCTAGCATATTTCCTATCCACACTTCACAATAATGTTCAACCAACTGCCTGAGAGACAACAGCCGGTTGAGCAATTTTACATTTTACCAACTTATTCCATACTTTGGCACCATATAGAAGGTTGTTTTGACAGTACCTTTTCTTTTACCATTTTTATTGGGCAAAGAGTATTCCCTGCATGAGAAAGATGTGGTTTCCCACCAAGTGATGTCCCTTGAGGTAAAAAAAATGATAACTTTCATGGCTCCTTTTGTCACCTGTGGTTATTCTCCAGGCTTAATGGAATCTGCTCATGTGTTTTTGTATATTCTGGCCAACACCCATTGTTAATTGTTTCCAGGGTATCTGAGATTATGAATTATTTCAACTTCAAAATGAACAAAATAGAAGAAGAAATATACAGTAACACAATTCAAGCTTTTCTCATGTATTGAGAATCTCTATATCTATCAATTAATTCAGTCAGGGATCTTGCATATTCTGTAATCTCTGCATTTGTCCTAAGCTACCCAAGTATGTCTGCAGTTGAGAAATTATTTGATTGTATAAAAAAAATCCATACAAAATCATGTTCTCTCCATATGTATGGTTTCATTCAGTTAGGGCTCTTACATGTCACATATATCTTTCTGTTTGTCCCAGACAAAAACTACAATCTTTATGTTGGAGTTCCTTGAGTGGTAGTTGTTGTTTAGAAGTGGACAGCAAGTGTCATCTGGTGGTTGATGATAACTCAGTGAGCACTTTTCCCACTTTTACTTGCATACACTTACTTGATGTTTCAGATATCATAAACATAATTGCCATTATCACTAGATGTCTCAGCTCCAACCAGAATGAGAATCATTTATATTTTTATTTATTTGTTTTGCTGTTCCCATTTCACTGTCCCCACATTGTAGAGCCCATCCTTGGGGATTGCTTGGATCTTTCTTTGCCTGTCTCTGAGCACCTATTAATGTGACTGATTCAGTGACTCACTGGCAATTTTTGATATGGGTGAAGAGGGACTACTGCCTCTGTAGTGTGTTCTTTCATAACACGTGTCTGGAGACGGACATAGCGTTCTTCCTGCCTGTTTATCCAATCATCTGTATCCCATTGTTAGCTCCATAGTTTCAATGCACTATTACCATTCACAAAACCTAAGTTAAAGGGCATCATGGGTGAGGAGGTACCCTGCTGAGAAGAATGCTTTCTTTCTGAGTGTCCTTTAAGTCCAGTCTTTTTCATTAGGGTGGTCCACTCCATTCATTTTCCTTCAAATCCAGTTTTGCAAATTATTTTCTGGTTCTGGATTTGACTCTGACTCTGCTTGTTTACATATTTCTTGTTGTCTAGATTATTATCCTTCTGCCCTGTAGCTTGTAGTTTTATATTTTTCTGTTTCTTTTCATGTTCATTTGCTCCCATCTTAAAGGGCATCATGGGTGAGGAGGTACCTTGCTGAGAAGAATGCTTTCTTTCTGAGTGTCCTTTAAGTCCAGTCTTTTTCATTAGGGTGGTTCACTCCATTCATTTTCCTTCAAATCCAGTTTTGCAAATTATTTTCTGGTTCTGGATTTGACTCTGACTCTGCTTGTTTACATATTTCTTGTTGTCTAGATTATTATCCTTCTGCCCTGTAGCTTGTAGTTTTATATTTTTCTGTTTCTTTTCATGTTCATTTGCTCCCATCTTCTTTACAATGAGGGTATTTTGGCTTTCAGTTTTTCAGAGGAAAGTCTACCTGATTTGAATTAAAATAAATATCAAACAGATACTTCGTAAATACCTTTCTTCCTACCTCCCCATAATGAAAACTTCATTATAACTGCAGCTTTTAATAAAATCTAAATTATAGCAGAAAAGTGGAGTTTATGTAAGATCCAATAACACTTCTGCAATAAACCATGTGAAGATTGGAAAGTTATGGGTAAGTGACACATGCTCTGCAATATGTGTTGGAAATTTCTGGTCTCATGTTTCATTGACATCATTAATTCAAAATCAACAAAGAAAGGCTTTCAGTATTTCAGAGGTAAGTACTTGTTTGAAATTTATTTTATTCTAAAAATGTAAACATTGATAACCTTACACATTACAATTCTAAGTTTATTTCTAAAATACAAAAGACTTTGCATGGTGGCATGTTTTTTTTTAGCTTATGCTACCACCCATAACTTATTGTTTTTCCTGTAGTTGCATTTCCTATTACTTAAGACATTATTCATGCTCTAAAGCTTTTTCCAGGGTCATGTAAGATTTATATTCACCATAGACATTGTTGCAGTCATACCCCATAATGATAGCTTAATATCTTTGAAATGTTTTCTAAATTTGATGGACAGAGGTTAAGCTTTCAACAAATACAATAAATCCATTAGCAAAGTTTGTTTTGTACTTATATGCTTTTCATTTTGATGTTTTTTCTTTCTTTGAGCAGTCTAGAAGAACTAAAGTAAGAGTGATGGAAAAATACATCTGTTTTTTGTAGGTTTGGTAAAAATGTGGCATGAAAAGGTCCATTTCAGACAATGGTAACAATCATATCATTTCATCACAATTCCACGAACTCCCAGTATTTTTATTTTACAGTTCTACACATCTTCTTTACACTGAAAACACAAAGAACTATATATTTGCAATGATGAAAAAATACCCAGAAATTATAATGCTTTAGTGTTATTTGTTTTGTTTTTGTCTTTCTTTTTAACTTTATAAATTAAGTTCCACTGCATGTTCTGATAGTTTTATACTGGTGTACAATTTATCAAAATATAATTTATATTTTAACCATTTAGGCTAAACTAATGGAAGAGTTGACAACTATTTCTAATTGTCAAAAGCAAGATGATGCAGCTAGCAACCAATTCAACTCTTTGTATGATGAGAAAGACAAAATTATTTCAGCACTAAGACAAGAGCTTGAAAAGCAGGTAAATTTATAAGGAAAATTTTTTTAATTTCTATTATTGAAGAGAAATGGTGTAAAAAAAAGCTCAAAATACATAAACTTGGTCAATATTATGTGTTTTTCTATTTTAAGTTTTTAAAACATCCCCATTTAGCTATTTTAATTAAATGATTAAAAGTTTAACACTTTGTTAACTTTTTGCAAGTTATTTAAAACATTTATTGACGTTACATGTACTTTATATAAAATTTAGAATCACAAAGGCATCTGTTTCATTATATATGTATATATATAGACACATATGGTTGCATTGGTTTTGGCTCACACACCTACTTAACAAGTTTTTACAACACAGAAGTTTGCCCAACTGGCTCAGTATTTTTGTAGTAAAAACAAAAGTAATATAAAATGTACATATAAATATGTCATCATATCATGGCCATGACTGTAGTTTTGACCCGTCTCGAATCTCATCAGCTGGGCATGCTCTGATGGGTGTTATTGCTGATTTTAAAAAAATACTTATTGGTAAGATAAAATGAAATTGAGGCTATTAGAAAACATAGTCACAAACATTCTAAACCATGGGTGAATATGCCAAAATATAATAATCATAACCAGTAGTTTAATACATTTTTATGTCAAATATTAGAATTAAGAAACAACACATTAAGTATTTAACTGAAAAGAATAATTAGCTGTGGTACTGAAAATGAGTATTTAAGTTTTAATCTAATTTTTTTAGAAATGTTAGATTATCTTAAACTGTAGACAAGTACAAGTAACATAAAATTTACATAATAATAATAATAGTAGCAAAGTTACTTTGTATAAGTTGTGATTCATTCAAACTTTTTAGTGTTATTAGCTAATAGTACAAATTTGGTGATGGCTTGAAAATAATGTAACAGTGGGTTTACGATTACTGACCAGGTGATTGTCATGCTTCATCATGTAGAACATATATATATATATATATATATATATATATATTTATATATACATATATACACAGTGTTTTCTCATTAATAGTTAAGATTTATGATTTGTATTTTAGTCTGTTATATCATTGGAAGTTTCTAACATACCAAGAAAGGAATAGTTTTAATATTGGGTTAGGATATACAGTCCTCAAGACAAATGATAGACAGTGCTTTCTAAGGCACAGGATAGACAAGACACTGGTGCTATAATAATTTTAGATAAAGTAATTTTCAGCATAATACCAGAAATACAAAAGAGAACTTGTATAATAGTTGAGGAGAGACAGATGGTGAAATTTATTAGCTAATATATGCTAAATATAGCTATTGGTTCTAAATTGTTTACTAAATTAAAAAAAAAATGATGTAAGGTTAATATAGAGTGCAATGTTTTCTTTGGTATCAAGGTTTTGATTAGTGATAATAACTAAATATGAATTTTAAAAAGCTGAATATCCGGCTAAATACTTTATGAAAATTTTAGACTTACGTCTTATTATTGTTAACAAATCAAATTATCATGTTTTCTTAAATATTAATTGTTTTCCATAAGATTGGTGAGAAGCATAAAGACATCTTAATCTCTTTATGTGCCTCCCCCACCCTGAATTTGGTTTTGATACCCATGGTGGGCAGAGCATAGATAGCCCATTGTTTAGCTTTGTGCTTAACAACAAACAAACTTATTTATTTTTTTTAGTAATATATAAATCAAGAAGTAGCACATTTTATAATTAGCAAATGCTAAACATAAATTAAAATTTTCCATTATGAAATGGTCTAATATAATACAAGATTTATTTTATTATTAGCAGTGATGTGATAAAGATGATTTTCGTTAAGTTAATGCATAATCTTTTAAAGTATTTACTATAATGTCAATAATTTTTTTCGTATTTAAACCCTGTGTGATCAAAACTGATTTCTGTACATTGCACAAGGATAGATTTTGAGTTGTTTTAATTTCTACTTTCAGAAAAACCTGAGAACTCAAGAGGCTCAGAAAGTAGAAGCCAAGGCTTCTATACTTAAAACCTGGGTAACAAACAAGCTTAAAGAGGTAACTCAATACATTCATTTTTATCAAATCTTTCTCAAAAGTTGGATGTGTATTACAAATAGGAATATGTTTTTAATATTTTGAAAAATAAAATTTTAGCATTTTGAATATCCTAATGTAGCTGTGAAACATAAGGTAAATCTACATTTTTATTCCTTAAGTTATGCCACATTTTGAAATGTGAATGATTGTGTGATTAATTCCTAACAATTTAGTGTAGAATATCCTGCTTGTGAAATACAATTTGGCATCAACATTATTCATGCCTGTGCTCCCGTCATTTCAAAAGTGAATGTTGAGCTTTCCCTGCATGTGCAGGTTTTCAAATGGGAGACAGATGAATGCTTGGACAGACAACAAGGTTAGCAATATATATAAGATATTAACTTTTCAGGAAAATATTTTACCTTTGAAAGCTTTATTGAAATGTTTTTGAATTTATGTAGTATTTTATTGGTTAAGATATATTTCATTATCTTACTTTTGAAACTCACAATGCTTTATAAGTACATAATCATGTAGCTTACCAATTATAAATATTATGCTTAAGAAATCCACTGCTTTTTTGCAATTCTCAGTATACATTCTTTGGGTTTTATTGATGTATACTGTAGCAATGTTGAGTAACATTTATTGTAGTTTGCCAAGCATATTTGTTTATCTTCATTGTAGTGTACTCTTAGAAACACTTGTGACCCCAAAAATGTTCATGTAAATTAGATATGAGTGAAAAACCAGTTTGTGTGCAAATTAGAGCAGTTTTTCCAGTATTTACTAAAGTTATATAAAACCTACGGTCCTTACATGTGTTTCTTGGCCACTTGTGAACATTTATGTTGTTTGTGGAATAGTTAAGCTTTCTTTTGAAAATACTGGCAGTATTGTGATGTTAACAGGCACGGCCTGATGGCATGTGATTACTGTATAATGGACTAAAGTTTAGAGGATTTTGATATTAAGCTTGTGGAGTGTCAGATGAGCTAAGAGTGCACAGTCTGAGTGAACATTCTACTGTAACCTGTGCTTGGCATGGCAGGTTTAGGTAGATGAAAATATTTTGAAAATATGTTGTACAGGAGTTATCATTTAAAAAAGATGTGTGATCTGATTTCCTGGAAGTAGAGAATATACTCCTGTTATTACAGTTAAACATGTTATTTGTCTCAGCGTAGATCTAAGAGTATGCTATCATTTCATCTCAGTTATATCAGTATATGTCCCCCACACACACCTCACCCTATCAGATTATTGATGATTTTTGTATACATGTCTTTTGTATATTAATAACAACCACACAGATTTTCAACTTCCTTAATCGTCATTAAACAATTTGGTTGTTTAAAGGGGTGCCTATAGAAAGTGACTGAACAATTAAGAGATGTTTCATTGCCCCTGTTCTCCAGCACTTGAAACTTGCTTATGTAACAAATACCAACCTAAAAAGAATACATGACTTACAAGGGAGCATCTCATAACATTTCCAATAATACCTGAAATGAAGAACACTTTGCTCAACCTTGCCCCCCTTTAAAGTAAAAGGTGAGGGTACTCCACATATATATATACTGACATTTAAAGTCCAACAAATAAAGAAATATTCATTACATAATCTTCATATTTTGTAATATGTGCATCCATAACACAGCCAGAAACACAACAAAAAGCACTGGGAATTACTTTATAAATCTGTATAAAATTCATTATTCAATATTTCTCAAAGAATTCTCTTAGGGCAGTCAAATTTATAGGAGTAGTTAGTTATTAGACTTTCTGTAAAATATTTTAGATTCAGGAAGATTACTTACCTCTCTTCACCACTAAGAACTATTAACTTACACTAAACTGCTGTGAATTTTTGCTGCACATGCCCTGAACAAACTTCCACCCCTACATATGTTTATGTGTATTGTGCCTTAGTATAATACTGTAACCCTTTATCAATAAGAGGGCAATACAACTTCCATGCATAGTACCCCCCCCAAAAAAAAAAAATCCCTGAGGCCCAGTCATTCCACTTCAGGCAATCCCTCAAACTATGTCAACAGCAACCAGAGGCACAGTATCTTTTCATGTTTGCTACACTCATTACTCAGGTATGTGACTTTTTACACTGCAATATTGGTTAGTGTCTTTCATATCCTCTTTGTCTTTGTGACTTCTTTGCTATGGCCTAAGGTCATAACCCTTTTTTTTATGTTTTGAACCCCCAATCTTTTGTGTTACTCCTATCTGCTATCTGTTTGAATCACTCTTCTTTCTCCTTCTTTGTCTTCTTCTTTCCTGCAATCTGCATGTTTTCACCTCTTCACTGTAGTTCTTTATCTTGACCCTGATTATTTTGATGAGGTCACTTATTCTTTTTTGTTTGCCCCTTTAGCTTCTGTTTCTTTCTCTACTGTTGCTATATTCTTTTGGTTTCTCTGTTCTTGGAGTCTCCTTGGTCTGGATGTTTTTCTTATTTGTGTCTGCCTCCCTTTCTCCTTGACCCAAGTCTTGCCACTTTTCACACTGCACCAATCTTTGGGGATGTTTTTGATTCCTTGGCTTCATGGGTTAGGGCTGCTTTCCAACAATCTTCTTTCAATTCCCTGATTTTTCAAATTACTAGACCATTGATACTTATGTTGGATACCCATCCTCATGAGTCCCATGGGGCTACCCTTCTCCTGTTCTTCATATTATCACTTCTACTCCACATTCTCCCTTCCAACTGGGTGGGCCATCAAGACACTTGGCAGTAATTCCTCCCTGGAACTGATTTTTGCTGTGGAATATTTTGTGCCTGCTTCTTCCCTTTGCATACCTATAGTCTCCCTTTCACTGCAACCTTTGTGTGAGTTTTTTCTTCAGATCTGTTTCTGCTTTTTGTACTCCACCTTTTCTTTCTCCTCATTATCTCACTTCTCTTCTTCCCTCAGATCCTCTGTATCTTTGAAGTCTTCCTGGGAACTTTCTTGAGTCTCATATGGGGCGGGCTCAACCATCTTCCTTGCATCTTTCATGCCTTGGAGATCTTTGTATTGAAAACTCTTCACTCTCCTTCTCTTCCTGCATGAGAGGTTCTCTCTACACATGCATACTGTTCAGTGGATTCTGTAGTACATGTCCTATGATCCTTTATTTGCCTTTGTGCCTTTCCATTCATATTTTTCTCCTTATCTGTTGGCCTGGCATAGCCAGGTATTTAGGGTGCTTGAGTTGCAATCTGTAGATTGCAGGTTCTAATCCCCATCCCACCAAACACACTTGCCCTTTCAGTCATGGAATGTTATAATGTGATGGTCAATTCCACTATTCATTGGTAAAAGAGTAGCCGAAGAGTTGGCAGTGGGTGGTGATAACTAGCTGTCTTCCTTCTATTCTTTCACTACTAAATTAGGGATGGCTAGCACAGATAGTCCTTGCATAGCTTTGTGCAAAATTCAAACCAAACAAAAACAAATCATATCTGTTATGGTGGCTCGATTGCTCCAAATGACCTAGGATATTCTGCCCCACCTTTCCACCTGACTTGCATTTTTACACTGATGCCTTCTTTTCCAATTGGGGGCAGCTCTCAGCATCTCCACTCTCTCCAAGGTCTGGTGTCCGATAGAGAAATCTCTGCTTATAGACATTCTAGAGTTGTCTGCAGTATTTTCGGGATTTCCAAAATCTTCATTTACAGTTATCAGTTCATCTGATGATAATACACTGTGACACTTCTATAGTCATTTTTTACATTATCTGCCAGGGAGATACCCACTTTCAGGACCTATGCTTTACTTGTTTTTTTGCTGCACCCTGTTCATTTCATCTATTGCCAGTTACTGAGTGGGGTTATCCACACCTTTTGCCTCTTGCTTAGCACTATTCCCTTTCTTTTGGTTGTTTTCTCCTACTCACTTGTGGTCATTTTTGTTTGGACATTCATACTTTTGCCTCTTTCCATCCTGTATATCATAAAGACCTGTTGATTTTTTTCATGACCACTCCTTTCTTCCAAAGACTTGAACTGTCTTGTTTTCTCCCATCTTTCTTCCTTCTGTTTCCTCACTAAGTGATCATTCCATTCCCAATCATCTTTTATGTCCATTTATGACTGTCTGTTGCTTTCCTGCTTGGAATATCCCTTTTAATGGACACCACCGCTGCTTGTTTTCTTCATTTCATACCTCCTCCTTTAGGGACTTATCTTCTTCCACTCTAACCATTCATCTTCCATTGCTTACACCACTGGGTGGTTTCATTGAGCCTATGGTTTTTGCCTTCCTCTCTCAAGTCACAATTCTTCAGTCTACCTAGTGGATCTAGTGTGGTGAGTTTTGCCTGTTAATTTCTTTTCCTACTCCTTCACTGACCTAGTTTGATCTTTGTATCTTTCACACATTTCATGGCATCACCATGTGTGTACCATTCTTTCTATACATATTCAACAAGAAAAAGGAGACAAAACACACACACACACACACACAAATGCCACATGGAACTAAACACTACAATCATTATATTTGATGTCATTGGATTCTGCAGAGTGATCAATATTAACTCACAGGGAATATTTACCTGAAATCTGAATTGAGTGGGAGAGTATGGAGTGTGTTCCACCCAATCCTCTTGCTCAGTTCCCACTACTGAGATGGAGTTTTCTGCAAGGCTGTTTCAGAACTGTATCTATATAATTGATATGGCTGGTTCTGCACCTTTTACAAAAAAAACAAAAACTGACAGCACCAGGTGTACTCCTGCTCTTACACCTGGCTTGTGCTTGCTATCTTTAGTTGTAGTAACCCATTGCACTGTCTCTAAATGGGAACCTAATTCCAGATGATTTTGCTTGATGACGGTGGCCAACCCATGCTCTCTGGTGTTGTCCTCTACATGTTCTCCTCTCCATTATTCTAGTGGATCATGGGAAAACTGTTACTTCTGCAGTCTAAAGCAACTGGAGATGTTGATATGAGGAGTTTCTTCTGTGAATGATGCCTTCTTCCCAGTAAGAAACCAGTTAGACCCACCTGTTATTTAAAATGTAGAGCTGGAGTGTTACCTGGAGTGTAGTACAGGATACCCCTTTACAGTACCTCCCAAGCAGTTCCCAGTGGATACGTCCAATTGGATGGGACTTAGATTTGCTTTGGGACACAGGTGAAGGATCCTCCTCCCTCCATCTGTCATTATAGTATCTATCTCATGTATGTATTTAACCAAGACAGAACAGCCTAAAGCCCTAGCTACACTTCACATTCTAATGTTCTGCCCACCTTGCTGACATGTTACCACTGCCACTGGATTTTCGTTTTATCCTATACTCTACTATCTAAAAACTTAAAAAGAAAAAAAAACCTATTGGGCAAAGAGTATTATCTGCTTAAAAAGGATGCTGTCTCTCACTGGGTGTTGCTCCACTAGGCAAACCCCAGTCTTGTGGAAGTCACACCCCTTTCTGTCACTATTTCAGAAAGGAACTAATTTATGTAATTAGTCAACACCTGCCCTTTCACCATCTTTAATGTGGAATTCTAACTCTTAGTGGTGCTGAGAGGTAAGTAACAGTTCTGAAGTTAACATTTGCTATATCTGAAAATGTATTTCATTTAGATACTTACCTCTCTGCACCACCTACCATCCTTCTTCCCCACTTCTGGCACATTTTGTTCACCTTGGCAAGAATGAGCCTATAATTATGTGCTAGTTCTTATGGGGATTACTGAGTATGGAGGTTGTGTCATCCTCTTATTGGTGGAGGACTACAACATTGTGATGATTACATCATAGACTGGCACAATACATATATGTATATATGCCTAAGGATGGGAGATAGTTCGAGGCTTGTGTCATGTGCAGGAAATTCCATGGCAATTGTCTGTGAGGTTATAGATTTTGTGGTGCAGGGAGTTAAGTATCTGTCTGAAATATTTTTTTCAGGTAAGGAAAATGTTAACTTCATGCACTCTGATATTTTTTTTGTAGGAAATTTTTCTAAATTGCTAGTTCTGGACAGTGAGAGCCTGAACTTTTGTGGAAATGTTTTTTTTTATAATATGTTATAAAACTTACCTTGGTTTAAATCAAATCAAATTGCCTGAATAATGTTTGAATGACTTATAAACTTCCTGTATTGTAAATTTTATGTTGACTTCATGACTAATAACTAATGGTGCTTGGATTTTGTAAGAACATTTTCATGCAGGTACCAAGCTTCATCTTTTTTTGTGCCAAGAAAAACGTACATAAGTCATGATGTTCACCTGAAATTTAGAGAATAATGCCCAAGTGATGGGTGTTATGGTTCTTTAACACTTTATTGTTTCATAGACTAAACAATGTAGAGAAAACAAAAAATACTGAGCACAAGGATATACAAGATTGTAAAAGCTCAGCAGATGCTAAGATTAACATTATCTGGAATAATCTATAGTGTTGTTGAAAGAGACCTTGAAAGAAATGAAGAAAAGGTTTGATCACATACAGAATTCCATTGAAGCTACTGTTATCAGGCTGATAGCTGTTCAGAAAGTACTGATATCAGTATTGCCATCACTCAAAACAAAATGAAAAATTTAAGAATTGAAATAGTAGATGAAAGGGTTGTCTCATTGCAAAGAAATATGGGTTCAAAAATTAGCATTACCAACAGATAGAAGTTGACACTTGCAGGATCATGTTGAGATGTTTTACAAAGAGACCACTGTCTATCTGTCAGTTTGTGTACAGGAATACCAGTCAAGGGGTACACAAAGCCTTTTAATCATCTCTTTACTGTAACACTCTACATGATGCAATCCCAGTTGGAGTTAAAGTATTTGGAAATTAATTTTTACCACTGTATAGAGAAGCTAACAGACTATGGTGGCAAATTACTAAGGGAACTATATAAAACCCAGTTTGACAAAATTTCTTGATAAGTAAATAAAATAACAAACAGAGAATTATATATTTTGCTGCCTACTTGAAAAGGCAGAATTGTTTTCAAAAAGTTTACGTATCAAAACCAAAAAAAACTGTATCAAATTTAGATATTGATGGACTAACTATGCTAACAAAACAAAAGTTTTAATATTTGTAATTCTGAAGATACCCAATAAGTGTTAGAAGTTAAGAAGTATAACAGATAAAAATTGGATATTAAAGAAATTAAAACATATATATACCTAGAGTATTAAAGATAAGTGACTGTGTTTGAAAAGGTAAAAATATATAAAATGTGAAACTTAAATGTTTGTTAATAAGGACTTGTATTGCTTGTCTGTTTTAACCTTAAGTTTATAACACCATATCCTATTCAGAAGTTAATATGATAGAAATTGGACTTTTGCATTGTTGTTAAGTTTTTGAATCTAATCACTATATAAAGTCTACATAAACATGGATAAAAATTAAAAACAAAATGATATAAAGAAAACGTGTTCTATAATTCTGCCTAACTTGCTACTTTCTGTATGTTAAAATACTCTTATTTAAGACCAAAAGCATTTTTCATAAAAATACAAAAGAGAACTTAAGAACATTTGTCAATAACTTTCTAAGGGGAAAAATGTGGATAATACTGCAAAACTTTAAATGGAATTTAAAGTAAAAAATGTTAACTAAAGTGACTTGGGAAGCTCAAACCCATCAGTTAAAGCAGAGCTCTAAACCACTATTCATAGTTTTCTCACTGGTTACCAGTTTTTAATTGTACCAATGAATTGTAACTTTAATAGTTCTAACTGTGACTAACAATATTAGTCTTCATGCTATTTTATGATCACAAGCCATCTTAAATGAGATATGTGATACATGCATGAAGTAAATAAACTAATAAGCATATGGATGCACCCATAGGCCAGAGTTTTAAAATATTCACTCAGAAATGTTCCAATCAGTTTCTACTTGAGTCATCACCTAAATCAACTAGTTAGCCCTACTCATATTTTGTCAGATATGTAATTGATTTAGAAGTAAGCACTAGACCATCATTCATAATATAACATAATGTTTTTGGACAGTATGGGACCTATTGGTCCATCTCGGCTGTTCCATCCTCTAAACT